CATAACCCAAAAACATTTAATAAAATATAACAAATACCTTAAAAAATTAGCAATATCAAATGTTAACTAAAAATTAAGAACTTAAATATCTATGAATAATTTTTAATATTTAAAACTTAATTTGAAATTCTACCTTGGTCCAATTCCTTTCTCCCTTTTTCGATTATTTTCTAGCAGAAAAAAATGTCTAATCAATTCCCCAACTGTTAACATTTTACCACTTTGACATACTGACCTGGTGCTCTGTATATTATCCCGTTATCTCTAGTGTTTATTAAGCCCACTGAGAGCAAGCTGCTGGTCAATGCGAATATTTCATATTTAGCATGTGTTTCATTTTTAATTAGTTTTCTGAAGTCCTGACTTCAGCCTTACACAGGGCATACATGTAACAAAAAACACGGGTCCCCCTCTTACTATGTTGAAATAAAAAATTCTTATTTTGGGTCTATGTTTTTCTGCTTTAACATTTTATAAAGTGAGAACACAGCAGAAATCTCATTAAGCACAAGGACTCAGCAGTTACTCTGTATTTCTTTTCTTGAGGACAGATAGTCATCTTTGCTCCCCAGCACTTTCTGGAGCAATTGCAGTGCCAGGATTCCACAAGCACAGGTACTTGGAGTATTTGCATCACCACTATTTGGGCTCCAAGGAGCAAAGAATAGGCTCAAAAGCCAATTTTTTGTGTGTGGATGTGAAGATATGAGATCCAGTGCTAATATCAAAAAAGGAAATATGTACAATGTCCTTGTCCAGGAAAGTCCCCATCAAATGCAATCTGGGTCCCTTGAGGAGGACAGTCCCCATGCTAGGCAGACAAAGACGTGCTTCCCCTTTCACAAATTCACAGTCTGGAATACAAGGTTTGAAAGGAGTGCACCTTCCATTGTGGAGAAATGGGTTCTTTCCAAGCAACCAGACCCCATTCTTTGCTGGTTCCCATATCTATTCATGATGCCCACTAATGGCGGCCACAAGTGAGCAGGGGGAGCCTCAGAGGCAAAGCTGGATGTCTGAGTGTGCTCTTTGTGATTCTGTTTGAGCCTTCATCCAATACTATTTCTCTTTCTGTTAAAATGCTCCTCAAATGCTCCTCAGATAATTGATAGTGAGGAACTGGCATTTCCTATGCAGACATCCATGGCCACGACTGACGGCTGTGGCAAGGAAGGGGAGTGGCATTTGGGGACACTCCACAGGTCCTGCCCACAGAGGTGGCCCAAATCTCCTCATTACCCCACTCAGGTTATTTCTGCTCTTTCACAGTTGATAACATTTTCCCACAAAACAATCTTTTCTGAAATTCCTAATTAGGACTCAATAACCCAAGTTAACTAAGATCCTGTTTCATGGCAGGTACGTAGTAATTAGTGAATATGTAAACACAGAAAATGTAAATGCATGACCTAAGGGGCAGTGTCATTTTTGAAAACCTAAATTTGTTTTTTCCTTTGTGTCTTCCAACCATTCTTTCTCAAATAACGAGTCACACATGCATTAAGGTTACACAGGTAACATTACTATACTCTAGTATAATAAGAAGTGACAAGATTGTGTCAAATCTCTTCTGAAACACTCAAGAACAGAGGCAAATGCCTCCCCGGTATACAGAGATGACTTTCAGGTGTGGGAATGGCAGGAAGCACCTTGGCCATGGCAGCCATTTAGAGCTTGGAGGAGGTGGGGAAGGTGCTGGATGGCACAGACCTTGTGTGTTGCAATCTCCGTTAAATAACTGTGCTCAGAGGAAACCAGTGTGCCCTGATGATGACTGTGCCAGGTGGCGGGTGGTGGAAATAGGTCCTTATCAGCAATGACGAAGGATTTCTACTCACTGAGGGCTGCCAACCACAGACATAGGAACAGAATAGACTTGGAAAATGTAAACATTTTCAGATAATTCCCAGCTTTACTAGAAAGCCAATTGCAATGGCAATGATCCCTGATTTCTCAAACAGGAAGGGGCGGGCAGGGCGGGTATCTCACCTTGGACCTTTGTCATCTGTGGGTCCATCTTCTGTGTAGCTCTCAACTGGGCCCCAGATCCTTGATCTTGGAGACCAATTACCAGCTGCCAATTGTGCCTTATGTTGTACTGAGAGACCACAGAGCAAAAGGGACACAGTGGAGTCTACCACGTAGGTCCTTCTGCAGCGACCGGGTACATTGTAGGCAGCAGATGCACCCACATTTCGCATACACGACTCCTCAAGAATAGTCACCCAGACCGACATCTGCTTGCTTTTTCAATGTGCCGAGCCCAACATCTCTAATCACCAGGGAAACGCAAATCAAAACCACAATGATACCACTTAACTCCAGTGAGAATGGCTTTTATCAAAAAGTCTCAAAGCAACAAATGTTGGCATGGATGCAGAGAGATAGGAACACTTACACGCTGTTGGTGGGACTGCAAACTAGTACAACCTCTACGGAGAGCAGTATGGAGATATCTCAAAGAACTAGTAAAAGTAGAACTACTATTTGATCCAGCAATTCCACTACTGGATATTTATGCAGAGGAAAAAAAGACATTCTATAAAAAAGGCACCTGCACTCAAATGTTTATGGCAGCACAATTACCATTGCCAAGATTGAAACAACCCAAGTCCAATACAATTCTATGGATTATTATGTGTATACCGTACTACCATGGGTACCTATCACTTTTATAGGTCTCTTGTATTTTTCTATTAGCTGACCAATTCCTTACTAAAGTGAATATCTCAGAATGGAAACAAGCACACGCATGTATTCACATCAATCTGGTACTTAGAATCAACACATAAGTGCGAACATAGAATAAATTTATACAGCGTTTGCGCAGGTGGAGTCAGGAGGAGGAATGATATATACACAAACAATGAGTGAGATGTGCAGGTTTGGGGCTGGTCATCTAGACTTGACTCAGTGGGGGTATGGCATGGGCATATACGTACCAAAATATTTTGTACAGTCAACAACAACCACGCCACAAAACAACACACACACACACACCCATGCTGAAATAAAAATAAAATAAAGTGAATCTCAAAAAAAATGAAGTGCTTTAGTTTGATGTAATCCAGTTTGTTTATATTTGCTATTGCTGCCTGTGTTTTTGGTGTCATATTCAAAACACATATCTAAGACAAATGTCGAGGAATATTTTCTGTTTTTTTTTTTTTAAACAGTTTTATGACTTTTTACGCTTCTACACTTTAAGTTTAATCCACTCAGGTATTTTTTTTTTTTTGAGACACGAAGTCTCCGCTTTTTGCCAGGCTAATAGTGCCGTCGCGTCAGCCTAGCTCACAGCAACTCAAATCCTGGGTCTGGTGATCTTCTGCTCAGCTCACGGTAGCTGACTACAGCATGCGCCACGCATGCCCGGGCTAATTCATAAAAATACTCAGTTGACCACTTAATCTTCTTTCTATTTATAGTAAGACGGACGGTCTCATCCTTGCTCACCGCTGTGTCGAACTCCTGACGTTGGAGCAATCCGCCGCCTCGGCCTCCAAGAGCTTTAGGATTACAGCGTGAGCCCAGCGCCGGCCAGTCTTCAACATTTTTTTATGGTTTACGACGAGGTCTGATTTAATTCTTCACAGGGCTTTCTCAACACCATGTGTTTGAAGAGAGTATCCTTTCCTCATTTTGTATTCCTGATGCCCTTTTCAAAGATGAGTTGACCATATAAGCATGGGTTCCTTTCTGGGCTCTTTATTCTGTTTCCATTGGTCTATGTGCCTGTCTGCCTGCCAGACTGTTTTGATTACTATATCTTTGTATATAGTTTGATGTTATGTTTGTGATGCCTCCAGATTTGTTCTTCTTTCTCAAGATTGCTTTGGTTATTTGTGGTCTTCTGTGGTTTCACGGGAATTCGTGATTTTTTTTTATTTCTGTGAAAAAATGTCATTGGAATTTTGATAGTGCATTGAATCTGTAGATAACTTTGGGTAGTGTAACATTTTAACAAACATACAAAAATCAATTTGCATTTCTGTATACTAACACAGTTTCTGAAAAAGTAATGAAGGAAACCTCCCCACTTAAAATCAAAAAGAATGAAAATCTTCTAGGAAAGAATATCACAAAATAAATTCAGAAGAAGGTGATATGGAATATAAAAGTTAAAATTCCATCCTAAAGCAAAAAAAGGAATAAAATTCTTGGGAATAGATTTCACCAGTGAGATAAAAGATCTATATACTCAAAACTATAAGACAATGATGAAAGAAATGAAAGAAGACACAAATAAATGAAAACATATCCTATGTTCATGGATTGGAAGAATTAATATTGTTAAATGCTTTATACACATAGCTTTTCAATGAATAATTTTTATCATCCTTTTGCTTATTTCAAGAATGACTTGGGATTGGGATCTATTTTAAACAGCTAGGCAAATATCTATTCCTGTCACATCTCATTTATATAATAATGCTGTTCTGTGGGACAGATCAAACACTGTTTTGTGGACAGGTCAAAAAAAAACTTTTGTGGGGTTTTTCTTTTTCCTTTTTCTTTTTTTTTTTGGAGACAGGGTCTCACTCTGTTGCCCAGCATAGAATGCAGTGGTGTCATTATAGCTCACTGCAACCTCAAACTCCAGGGCTCAAGTGATCCTCCCACCTGGGCCTCTGGAGTAGCTGGGACTACAGGCGTGACACCACACCTAACTAATTTTTCTGAGTTTTCATAAAGATGGTGTCTCACTCTTGCTCAGGCTGACTGGAATTCCTGAACTCAGGTGATCCTCCTGCCTCAGCCTCCTGAAGAGATAGGATTACAGGTATGAACCAGTGTGCCAGATGCCAAAAAATACTTCATCATTGTTTTCCAACATCAGTTTTATAAGTCATCATGGTGATAATTTGATTGTTATATTTCTAACTGCTCTTTCTAACTTGGTATATTTCAAGCATGGGTGGGCACAGGGCTCTCTTGTATTGATTGCCTTATATCCTAATAGATTATATTATTACTGTTGCAGTTGTTTGAAAGAAACATTCACTCCAAGTAATATTTTTATTTTTCAGATCAGATATACATTGCTTGCCATTTAGGTTTAGTGAATAGGTATAGACAGAGCTATCTTGGACTCTACGTTAGGTGAGATGAGACCACTGAAAGCAGGTGACATTTTGCTCTCTGTTTTCGATGTGACCCATCAGGCAGAAATGCAGAGAGAAAAAATAACAGGCATAGATAACACTTGAAAACCATCAGACGTTTTAGTCTCAGGACCAGGGGAAGAGTGCTGCATCCAAGCCTGACATCTTCTCCTGAAATAACTTGTCAAAGGCTTCACTCTGGGCCACAGTGAAGTGGTTTTTCCAGTCCCCAGAAATTCCTGCCAAGCAGAGATCAAAGGAAAAGCATTAGGACATTGAGGAAAGGCCCCAGACATGCAACCCAGACTGTCACTCCATGTCTCTCAATAGCCACATCAGTCTAGTCAATCTTTTCTGGGAAGAGTAAAGCAGGGCATCCTACAGATTTTGTGCTTTTTCTGCTCTATCTCACTGAGCACAAATGGCAAACGTGATGTATCTCATAAAATAATTGCCTGGATACAAAAATCAAGTCTAGGAGGTTGAATATATAGTAAGAACAAGATATTTTTCATAAACAGAAGAATTTTTTAATAACAAATCTATCTAATTTCAGAGTGGACCTTCTGCCTTTGTGGATGGTGAACTCTACTGCAGTGGACATACTAAAGCAGAAATAGTTTGTCCTGGATACTGAAGGTGGTGTCTACTGGGCTTGTGCCTTAAAATCCCTGACCTTTCCTATGGCCCCACACAAGTCCCCGTGTTGTGGAGAAGCCACAGCGAACAGTATTAAGCTCAGCAGAGAAGGAATGAGGGACGTCTGTGTTCTCACCCTGGCTCTGCCTTTTCCTGTCTGTGTGACCTTGTCCAAGTTTATAAGAAACTGTGGGTAAAATGGTCACAGTAATAAGAGTTCCCACCTCAGAAGGTTTTGTGGGATTAATGAAAACAGATAACTAGTGGAAATTATGATAGCTAATATCCACTGTGTTCACCACGTGGCAGAACTCATGGCCATATGGACGACTCAGGAATAAAAAGAATACATAGGGTACAGCTCGGATGGAGGTCAAGGGTATTGCGCTGTGAAAAAACTCAATGCCAAGAAATCCCATACTATATAACTCCACTTACGTAACACTCTCATAGTGACACATGTATAGAGCCAGAGAACAGATCGGTGATTGTCAGGGATTGTGGATGGTGTGATGGACCAGATCTGCATTTTTATGGTGGTGATCATGTATGACTCCATGTATGTGATAAAATTTTGTGGAAATATACAAACAGACACACAATCAAGTGCATGTAAAACTGGTTAGATCTTAAGGCCTGTGGATTTCTGTGATGTCAATATCCTGGATTTGATACTGTCCTACGTTTGTGAGGATGCAGAGAAGGGGAAAGGCACACGGGAACTCTCGGCACTACTTTGGAAGCTTCCTGGGAATCTATGATTACTTCTAAGTGAACAGTTAAATCAGTAAAGGGCACCTGGAGAATCTGACAAGCAAACATCTGCAGAGGGTCCTGGTGCTCTGGGTTTTCTCTTATCTCGATAGAAGCAGGAGGAGAAGATGAGTGATGTATCTTCTGACCCTTTCTTACTACAGTCCTGCCAGGCCCATTTTACTCTTTATTCTGAAAATGACCAGTCCCTTCAAAAAGGGAATATGGGGTAGTTGGGATTCAAACACATGTGTTTCCATGTCGTGCACTTCATGTGACTGCTGAGAAACAGCCCATCTCATCTGTGGGATACACCTTTGCTCCCCCAAAACACTGGCTCTCACCCTTTCTCAACATCGGTGAAGTGAAGACACGAGTTATGTGGTTGTCTGGTGTGGAATAGTTGGACATCTTGTTCTCTTTCATGGCTGAGAAGGAACTGTTTTGCAAGACTGAATCGATTTCATGTGGTTTCAATTTTTTACCAAGAAATTGACAAATCTTCTCCACACTGCCCCTGACGTCCTATAGGAAGGAAAGATTGTCAGCAGATAGTGTTTATAACCACAGGCTATGAAACAGGTGCTTGAATTCTAATCAAAGCCAAACTCTTAATACCTGTGGGTTCCTCTACAATTTCTGATGTCTCATATGCCTCAGTTTTCAGATCTATATATTGGAGATTATAAAGGTACCTACCATGTAAGTTGGTTAAGACTACATAATAAATTTCCTTGAAATTCTAACATTTAATACTAAGTTTGTTCCTTGCTCATAAAAAGTCTAGGTGGATTCTGCCAGTCACATGAATTTTAATATGACTCTTCATGGTCCTAACCTCCACCTGCTTTGTGGCTCTATCATGCCTCATGTGTTCACACACCTCTTTCTTCCAGTGGTGGGTGAAGAAAAATATCACAGAAAGGAAGCACCCCTTCTTAACTGACCAACACTTAAATGCACATATAGTGGCAACATTCATCGGGCGCTGGGCAGATGGGACAGGGGAGGAGGGGATGGGTATATTCACACATAGTGGGTGCAGTGTGCACCGTCTGGGGAGTGGACACACTTGAAGCTCTGACTCCGCTGGAGCAAAGGCAATATACGTAACCTAAATATTTGTACCCCCATAATATGCTGAAATAAATTAAATAAAAATAAAGAATTAGACATCCACACTTGAATATCTATGGCAGCAAAATTCACTATTGCACAGTCATGGAAACAACCCAAGTGCCTGTCAATTCATGAGGGATAAATAAAATGTGGTGTATGTTCTCAATGGAATATTACTCAATTCTAAGACACAACAGTGAGCTAGCACCGTTTATGCTATCCTGGATTATGTTTAAGCCCGTTATACAAAGCTAGGTGACACAAGATCCAGAAAAAGGTCTACACATCTATTCGTGATCAAATTGGTACTGACTGATTAAAACTATGTTGCTCAAAAAAATGGTAGTCTTCACTAGGGATTTGGGGGGGAGACCCACACCTTAGGGATGTGGTGAGCATTGTTGGGGGAAGGGATTACCTTTAACCATTTTTAGGGAGAGGCAAAGATATACATGGTAACCAAAATGTTTAAAAAAAAACCTGTTATCAGGAGGTGGGCAGGTGGAAGAGGGGAGGAGGGGAAGGGTGAGGGTGGGTACTTACATAATGGGTGTGGTGCGCAACACCTGGGGGTTTCTGGCATAGTAGGGTGGGGGAGGGGTGGCATGCGCCATATATGTAACCCTAACAATATTTGTACCCCCACAATATGAGGAAATAAAAGGAAAAAAAAAAGAATTAGAGCAAAATCAATAAAATATCTTGTATCTTAAAAAAAAAAATTTTAAAAAGAAAGAAAAAGAAAAGAAGTACCCTTGCCTACATGAATTCTTTTCTGAAGCAACACCAGCCTTTCATTGACAAAACCAAGACAAAACCATCTGGAAGCAAAGGGGCCTGAAAAACAGGGTTCCTACATAGATAGCCACTTTCCATAAACGGCTCTCCATTATAAAAGGGAACTTGAAATTTCAGTGGTCCCTGGATTAAATGAGTTAACAGAAGTCCATTTGGAATAGAGAAAGGAATTGATGGAAATTGGCTATTGTTATTGGCACCAGAATGGTTGCCTATACTACAAAGTCTACAGTGGTTAGATTCCTGTTCGCAATATCCCTCTTCTAGGCCTCCTCTCATGGGAACTCTGACTAGAGGGCTTTAACAGGGAACAATGTCTGAGAGTTGAATTGACATGACTCGTGCCTAGGCTGGTAGTCCAATAGCCCATCCAATTGCCATATGGCTCCCAGGTTGGAGACAAACATAGGTACTTTCATGGGGCATGTTGATGAGATGTAGGAGTTATCAGGTGGGAATATCTTTGTATGTAAATCATAATTTCCATGTAATAGCATATATGTGCTTCTTGGAGAATGTGCATAAACCAAAGAGATGAGCATAAGATATGCCAGGCTGCTATTCTGACCAAACTCCTTAAGAGTGTCTTATCCTGAAAACAGAGACATGTTTGAAAGGAACATAGGTCTGTAATAATGACATAGCTAACACACACACCCACCATGCCAGACACTATTCTAGATACTGTTCAGTGTATTCTCACGGTTCAGAAAGGTACCGCTGTTATCCAGGTTTAGGGATGGGACGCTGAGGCGCAGAGTGGGTAAGAACTTGCTGAGGTTGCCCAGTCAGTGGCAGGAAGCCTGGCTCAGAGGGTCAAGGTCTTCCCCACCACACTGCACTGCCTCTCAGGAATGTCTCTACCCAGAGGAATAGAAAGGGATCTAGGAAAGAGAGGACAGTATGGCTAACTCTAGGAGGGAAAGGAAAAGAGAATTACCTTTTGCAGCTCCTCATAGAAAATCAGTAGGAAGGACCCCATTTCTCTCCTCTTTATCCATCCAAGAACATGATCGAACCAAGATCCGTAAGCAACTGCAGCAATAGGCACAAAAGCTAATTATTCCTCTCAAACTCATATTCCTTGAATATTTATTGCCATTCCTAAGTGAAAGTTCATGTTTATTTTGTGGAATATGTAAAAGGAATAAGGCCAAACACCTCTTTCTCTAGAAGTTTACCGTAAAATGATTAAATAAATCAGCAAATCTGAGATGCATTATTCTATGTACTGAGAAACAACTATATTCATTGTTACCACTTAGATTTTTTTTAAGACACAGGGTCTCACTCTGTCACCCAGGCTGGAGTGCAGTGGTGACCATAGCTAACTGTAGCTTTGAACTCCTGGACTCAAGCTAACCTCTCATCTCAGCCTCCCAAGTAGATGGGACTATAGGCATGTGCCACTACACCCAGCTAATTTAAAATTTTATTTTGTAGAGACAAGGCCTTGCTATGTCACCCCGGCTTGTCTTGAACTCCTAGCCTCAAGAGATACTTTTGCCTTGGCCTCCCAAAGTGCTGGGATTATGGCGTGATCCACTGTATCTAGCCCAGATTTTTTAAGTGTAATAGAAGTGAAATATATGTGTTTAGGTGTTCTTAAATGCTACACATTCAAACAGTATTGAAGGAATTTCTAAATGAGGTCTTTGACATCCATCTTTCCAGATGATATTGGTGTCTGTGCCAGCAACTGGTGCATCACGGAGCTTTTTAAAAAACAATGCTAGACTTATTAATAAATGATAATAGGACATCTCAGTATCACTTTGGGGAAAAAGATTAAATTAGATCTATTCCTCACATCATACATAAGAATAATGAGTCAGCAATTTAAATGTAAAATATGTAACATGTATGAAAAGATAATATTAATAAATTCATATTTAATTTCCCTGTAGAAAAAAAGGTTCCTAACTATGATTCAAAATTCTGATATGACTAGTCACAGTGCCTCACACCTGTAATCCCAACACTTTGGGAGGCCAAGGAGGGAGAATCGATTGACGCCAGGAGATTGAGACCATCATGGGCAACATAGCAAGTTCCTATCTCTATAATTTTTTTTTAATTAGCTGAGTATGGTGGTGAATGTCCTAGATATAGTCCTAGATATTTTAGAGGCAGAGGTGAGAGGATCTTTTAAGCCAGGAGTTTGAGGCTGCAGTGAGCTAGGATCGCCCACTGCACTCCAGCCTGGTGATGGTGAGACCCTGTCTCTTTGAAAAAATTCCTGATATGAAGAAAGATAAAAACATTAATACATATTTTAAAATATTGCATGACAAAAAAAGTGTTAAAAAGACAACTCACAAGCTAGAGAAAATAGTTGGAATAGATATTACAATTGACTAATAGTGCTGATATTTTAAGCTATTAAACATTAATGGGAAAAAAGATTAAATCTAAATAGAAAAGTGGGGAAATTACAAAAACAGACATCACAAAAGAAATATGTAAAATGGCTCTTAAAGATATGAAAAGATATTTAGCCTTACTCATAATTAAAGAAATGCAAATAAAAACTAACCTGAGATACCATTATTGACATATTTGATTGACAAAAATTAATAACTAAACAACACATTCTGTTAGTAGTATGGTAGACAAGATAGCAACTCTTACACATAGCTGGTGGAAACAACAAATCTGAGACTAATTTATAAGCAAAATAAATAGTGGTAAGAATGGACTATAAATCCATATCATAAAATAGGAATCCATGAATACATGCTGATATGAATAGATAAGTAAGAAAAAATGCAAAATCTTACAAAAGAATTATAAGTATTCTTACAATAGAATTCCAATTAAGAAATGTGGTAGAAATGATGGAAGTAGAAGCATTAGGCGAACACCATGGTCATAATTGGCAGAGAAAAGAGTCATGAACGAATTAAAAAATGGCATATTCTGAAAATACAGTCCTACAAGACATATATTAAATATAAAGGGAAAATATTAATATTAACAAGGTGGAAACCTCACAGACACCACATTAACCAAAATGAACAGAGTTAAGATGACTTATAATGAGTAAAGTAGATACCATGTGCCTCCTGAATTGATTCCTCAAACACACAGCATCATATCTGAAGTACACTTGCAAAACGAATATATCTTGCAATTCATTATGAGGTGAAATGAATATCAGGGAAAGCCAAATTGAAGAACATTTTACAGACTTACTAGACAGTTTTCAAAAGTGTCAAGGTGATAAAAAGAAAGTGTTTCAGATTAGAGAAGACTAGATAACTAAATGCAATGTCTGAAATTTAGGAGGTTTTAAAATGAAGCTTTTAGGGTTTTCTAGTTATAAGTTTATACAATCAGATAACAGAGATTCCTCTGCTCCAATGTGGATGCCTTTTATTTCTTTCTCTTGCCTGATTTCCCTGGCTAGGGCCTCCACTATTGTGTTGAGCAGGAGTGCTGGCAGTGGCCATCTTTGTCTTCTTTCAGTTCTTAGAAGGAATATTTTCAACTTTTCCCTTTCACTATGATGTTTCCTGTGGGTTTTTCATATATGGCTTTTATTATTTTGAGGTGTGTTCCTTCTATGCCTGGTTTATTGAGGGCTTTTATCATGAAGGGATGTGGAATTTTATCAAATGCTTTCTGCATCTCTTGAGATGATCATATGGCTTTGTTCCTTAATTCTGCTTATGTGACGTATCACATCTATTGATTTGTGTGTGTTGAACCATCCTCGCATCTATGGTGCATAAATTCAGTAAAGTTTCAAAATACAAAATCAATGCACAAAAATCAGTAGCATTTTTGTATACCAAAAACCAATCAAGCTGAAAACCAAATCAAAAGGACAATCACATTTACAATAGCTACAAAAAATACCTAGGGATATATTTAACCAAGAAGTTGAAGGATCTCTCTAAGAAAAACTACAAAACACTGTTGAAAGAGATTATAGATGGTACAAATGGAAAAATATCCCATACTCGTGGATCACAAGAATTAATATTGTTAAAATGACCATACTGCCCAAAGCAATTAATCTAGAGATTCAATGCAATCTGTCAAAATGCCAACATCATTTTTCACGGAATTAGAGAAGGCAATCCTAAAATTCATATGCGACCAAAAAAGAGACCAAAGACCCAAAGCAATCCTAAGCAAAAAGAAAAGAGTGAAGGCATCATATTACCTCAATTCAAATTATACTAATTACACTACAAGGCTACAGTAACCACAAAAGAATAATGGTATAAAAATAGACAAATAGATAAATAAAATAGAATAGAAAACCCAGAAATATAGTGCCATATCTATAGCCAACTGATATTTGACAAAATCAACAAGAACTTACAATGAAGAAAGGAGAACTTTTTAATAAATGATGCTGGGAAAATTGGATTGCTATGTGAAGAAGAATAAAACTGGACCCCTATCTCTCACCATATATAAAAATTAGTAATAATTCAAGATGGATTATTAACTTAAATGTAACATCCATAATTATAAAGATCCTAGAAGAAAACCTAGGGGAACTCTTCCAGGCATTGGTCTAAGCAAAGAATGTATGACAAAGACTTGAAAAGCACAAGCAACACAAAAATAGACAAATGAGAATTAAGTAAACAAAAAAGCTTCTGCACAACAAAAGAACTAATCAACAGAGTGAACAGGCAACCTGCAGCATCGGAGAAAATATTTGCAAAGTATACTTTCAATGGGGGACTAATATGCACAATTTACAAGGAACTCAAATGACTCGACAACAACAAAGACAATCCCATTAAGAAGTGGGGAAATAATGTAAATAGACATTTTTCAAAAGAAGACATACAAATAGCCAACAAGCATATGAAAAAATGCTCAACATCACTAATTATCAGAAAAATCCAAATGAAAACCCCAATGTGATAGCATGTTATACCAGTCAGAATGGCTATTATCAAAAAGACAAAAATAATAACAGGTCAGGAGGATGAAGAGAAAAAATAATCCTTATACACTGTTGGTAGGTACAAAATTGGCACTACCTTTATGGAAAACACTATGGAGATTTCTCAAAGAACTAAAAATAGAGTTACCATTTAATATAGTAATCCCACCACTGGATATTTACCCAAAGGAAACGCAATCATATCAAAAAGATATCTACACCCATATGTTTATTACAGCACTATTCACAACTGCAAACATATGGAATCAATGTAACTATCAAAGCATGATTGGATAAAGAAAATGTGGTATATAAACATAATAGAAAAGTCATAAAAAAGAATAAATCATGTATTTTGCAGCAACATGGATAGTTATCATCAGTGAAACAACCCAGAAACACAAAGACAAATACTTCATGTCCTCACTTATAAGTGGGAGTTAAATAATGTGTAAACATGAACATAGAGTGTTGAATGATAAACAACAGAGACTCAGAGGGTGGAGTGCAGAGAAAGCATGGATGATGAAAAATTACTTAAAGGGTGCAATGTTATTATTCCAGTGGTGGATGCACTAAAAGCCCTGACTGCACCACTATGCAATAATCTATCTGTGTAACACAGTTATGCTTGTACCTCATAAATTTATACAAATTTATAAAAATTAAAAAAATGTAACATATGATCTAAGATTGGATCGAGGAATGGAAATTTAACATTAATGGTAATTGGTGAATTGTGAATAGCCTTTACATTAGGTAATAGTATTGTATCAATATTTAAGTGGTGATTTCCTGACTTTGATCATTGTATCACTCTTATGAAATATGTTATCATTTAACGAATCTAGGTACATAGGAGTTCTTTGTAAATTTACATATATTATAGATCTGAAAATATTTCAAAAAGTAAAAGATACATTTTTTAAACACTTGCAAATGACACTTATCCAAGGTAAAATCCACACCATGAAAAGCAAAGCCAAACACCTTTCCAGGAATATAAAAAACATGTTTCATGGTGGTAAAACCCCCATGAAACATGTTTGATTCAAAAAATAATAATCATAGTTGTACAAATAAACATACAGACTAACCACATTTGTAATAAGCACTCTGTGTATGGAGTAGTGTGGGGTAGAAAAGAGTCATATTGAATTTTGAACTACTCATTTCTTTTGCCTATTGATAATGAAGGGGTGGCACTCACAGATATCCAAGGCCACGAGAACACATCGTGCAAAACACATCTTCCAGTCACTTATGAAAATCTGATGATAACTCAATTTGAAAAGCCTCTCATCAGCAAAAATATTAAAAAAACCAGATAATCAAAAAACTATACAATTATCTAAACTAAAAACAAAGTCAGAGCACTACAATAATCTGAATGACCTCTATCAACTTTTCTACAGAAAAATGTGTTCCCAAGAATTAGGGGGTAGTTCAGTTAATTCTGAGTTTAAAAACTATGTAATGAATCTGTTACAGATGATCCCCAACTAGAAATGGTTCAACTTACAATGTTTAACCTTTACAATGGTATAAAATCGATACACCCTTAGTAAAAACCATACTTTGAATTTTCAATTTTGATCATTTCCCAGGCTAACGATATCCATGTTGGTGTTCTGAACATCTCTAAGGCAGGGTAGGCTAAGCTACGGTGTTTGGTAGGAAGGTTAGGTGTACTACACGCATCGTTGACTTATGATATTGGTTACAATGAGTTTCTTAGGACACAGCCCCATCATAAGTCAAGGAGCATCTATACATCATCAATAAGAAAGAATCCACGTGAGGAATATAAGATGATGAGATGACAGAAGGGATCAAAAATATAGAAATAAAGAATATATACTCATTCAGACACCTATACAAAGTGTTTCCATATTTGGACTGATTTTCAGAATCAAAAAGGAATTAAATAAAATCACACTAACTTTGATCTCTCACTAAGTATTTGTCATAACATCGGGTAAATTGTGAACATTTATGGACCACAGATTTACTCTTTGAAACAATGAATGCAAAATAGATCATATCTCTGAAACTACCCAGATTACTATGATCCCACAAAATTTATAATGAGAGGTCTAGGGTTTACTTACGTTCGCCTTGCACAAAGTCATCCAAGATTTCATCAAAACGTTTTGGTTGCTTCCATCTCAATTCTCCTTTTACCAAATGATACCAAGAGGTAACAACATCTCTTGGATTCCTTATGATATAAATGATCTAAAAGATAAAAGAAGTTTATGAAAATGCAGTATGAATATTTATCTCTGTCTGCTATTCTGAGTGATCCACATTTCCTCATACCCAAACCCAAACTGCTCATCTGTTCAAACACAGCTGGTATTATTCAACAGAAATATTCACTCTCAAGCCATTACTCTTTAAAGACAAGCTGCCTTCCTTTTCCACTCTCCCATTAGATAAAGAATGCTAAATTGGTCTTAACCTTGGCTAAAGTTGAAAAACTAATTGATAATAGTTCTCCTGTCTCTTTACATTAAGAAAAATCTAGAACTGACCTCTGAGTTCACAACGCAAAGTAATATGATCAGTTAATTATGACTGCCATGGATTTAGGAGCAAGGGACACTGGCGTATGTGCCATGGATTTGGATTACTTCCTTAGATGCACCATCTCATCAAAGGAGAGAACATTCCCCTGAGATCGCTTCAAAAGGACCCACATCCACACACCTTGGCATTGGAGGTAAAGTAGGACTTGGGGAATAAGTGTACAGGGAGATGTGACGTCATGAGGCGCGACCCATCCTGTTTCTTTATGTATTCCTGAAAATGATTATTCTCTATCCATGGGGACCTGATATAATTTGGGACACTTTGGACCCAGCTAGGTTCCCCCTTGTAGTAGATCAGACAGAGAATCTCAATCATCCAGTGTGTTCCTGGTAGTAAAATAAAAGAGAGAATCACAATATTAATATGAGGCATTAACATTATGAAGATGTTTCACACATTGCATGCCCAGAGTTCTTCAATCACTTGTGGGTCCCTATAATCTTGACTATCAATTCTACAGTCTCTGTTCCCACCCCCTTCTCACTTTGTACCCTCTTCCCAAGGAGATATTCCCATGAAAATGATGCCTGAAAGCAGAATAATCACCAATTTATACCCCCAAGCCAAATGCCTACTGTGCTTCAGTTTTATGAGCCCAGCTGGCTCCATAGGCTCTCAGAATGTTTTCACTAGGAGACCAGAGGACATAATGTTGGCAATTTGATAGCAGCCACATTGAATCTGTAGAGCACTTTGGGCAGTATGGTCATTTTAATAATATTCTTCCAATCCATGAACATGGATGTCTGCCCATTTGTTCTTATCATCTATATCTCTTTCATTAGTATTTTTGTATTAATAATTCATCTTGTAGAGATCCTTCACTTGCTTTGTTCAATATGTTCCTACAGATTTTTGTGTAGTCATTGTAAATGTGATTGCTTTCTTGATTTCGCTCTATGCTCAACAGTGACTCCTAATTTCACCATAAATAAACTTACATTGTATGTAAAATCAGGTTTCTGGCTATGTACACACGGCTACAAGACAAATCCCTCGGACCCCAATGTTACCCAATTTGCCACACACAGGCCATTTCTTGTGAAATTCTGGATGAGACATGGCATGAGGAATTAGGAGATGGGCAAAGAGGGGCTGCTTTAATCAAGTTTCCTAAAAGCAGAGTGTGAGACAGGAAATCTCCTAGAAGTGATTAATTGAGAGAATGCTCACAGCAGGAACGTCTTAATATGAAGAGTGAAGAAATCAGGAAAGGGCATTGGAAGAAAGTCATCTCCGTCTGGTGCCCTGGGTCCTCTGGCGCATTCGTGGCACTACAGAGCTGCTCCAACTTGAGGGGAGAGGCCGGGTCTTCTGTATCAGTCCCCCTTCGACTGCAGACCAGCACCAAGGAGAGGCATCAGCCCCAGGCACCTCCCGAAGGCATTCCCACAGCCCGGGTCCATTCTCCACCCAATGGTGGAGTGAGGTCTTTTGGGTGGGGACCCTGGCCTTGGGGCCTGGGATCCTGGAGTGTGGCCTTTTGACTGAATCCAAATGATACAGAACAAATCCTTTTCATAAAGAAAGGGGACTGTTGGGAAGTCATGACTGCATTTACTAGTGTGGCAAGAATGGTGCAGGGTGCCCACCACTCCTATGTCAGTTTCTTTTAAACAATCAAATCTCACCAGAAATAAAAGAGCAAGAATACACTTTTTACCCTGAGGATGGCACCAAGGCCTTCACCAGGGATCTGCCCCCATGACCCACACACCTCCCACCAGGCCCTACCTCCAGCATCAAGGATTAAATTTCAACATGAAACTTGGAGGGGACAGACATCCAAACCAACCACAGCATTCCACTCCTACCCCTCCCAATCTCATTTCCTTCTCATGAAATATACAATCACCCCTTCACCATAGTTCCCAGAAGTCCTAACTCCCTCCAGAAACCTCAAAAGTTTAAATTCCAAAGTCTCATCTGAGACTCAAGGCAAGCTCCTGACAGATGTGAGCCTGTAAAATCAAAAACAGTTTACATACTTTGAACACAGACAAACACATACACACAAAGGCATGCACATACAGGCACACACCCTTCACAGACACACACATTCTTCTTACCTGATCTAGGATAACTCACTAGGATGACATCATTGTCTTTCACCAAAAATTCATTCCTGGCAAAGCACAAATTCTCTAGAGGTGTAAAACGTGAATCTAACCATATCCCCTCAAACAGGAATTTACTAGTCATCTTGAAACAGTATTGCAGTGAACCATCCAGGGCTGACAGATCTACGTTCTGATATTGGACATAACAGCCCCTTAAATCAGGCAGATAATGCCAAACTGCCTTACTGCAGTTACTCATGTGGAACAAACCACAGTTCTCTGAAGGTCTAGGACAGCAGATCTTACTCAATAGTTGGTTTTAAAGACAGTGGACCTTGACAGAGAGTCAAAATTTGGGCTTATTAGATAAGTGACATCCAAAGATCAGAAAATCAAATACCACATATTTTCACTGTCACATTGGAACTAACCGATCAGCACTCACCAGCATAGATGGAAGTAAAACAGAAAAGAAATCATGCAGGTGGGACAGGGAGGAAGAGATGGGTAAAATCACACCTGATGGGTACAATGTCCACTATCTGGGTGATGGGCATGCTTATAACTTTAATTCTAGCACTACAAAACCAGTCCGTGTAACCAGAATATGGGTAGCCCCATGATTTTCTGAAATTAAAAAAAGAAAACTTGGACTTAGACCTAGATGAACCTTGAAAAATCAATAGAATGTGTCATCGAGACTAGTAAACAGGAGGGTGGAGAATGAGACCAAAGGCTGGAAACAGCAGCTTGTGGAAGAAAGTTAGTGGGTGTTTTTCATTAAAAGAAAATGAGTGCTCACAGGGCAGAGGGGCTCCCTAGGGTCCTTCTTCAGGCCAGTGGCTTTGGCAGAGCCTCACTGATTTCCTGTCTCTCAGGCTTCAGCATCCTTACAGTCTTGCTTTGCAAATCCCCCATGGGAGGACACTCTGGTACAATAGGAGGAGAGTCACTTTGAAGTGGCTAATGCTTTTCTCACCTAAAAGGTGTCCTGGGACTTCTGGCTTCTCTCTGGGAATGTACAGTTCTAGAAAGAGCTTTGCTGCTGTATTTACAAGAAAATAGGTAGAATAACTTTGAATTCTGATCTTTTTTGGAACTGTCAGAGAACTGGAGTTGCAGTGAAAACAACCTAAAAGCCAAGGACAGACATTGTCTGCAAGGAAAGGGGATGTGAATATCCACTCACCTGGGTCAACACCATAAGATAACTCTTAGAAGACTTATTCTAGAAAAGCTTCCAAACCAGTGAAGACATATCACAGGCTGCTAGGACAGTGTAAAATCTGCAGCCTACAGAAAATCTGCAGACTGCAGAAGTTGGTGAAGTGTTCATCATATTTCAGGATCCTCCTTCCCGAATCCCACCAGACACCCACATAAAATATTTATGTGCAGGGTCCTGAGCAGGCAGGCAGGGGTCAGGCATGCGTGTTGGTCTTGAATTGCATTTCTGGTGCAGGCCTGTTCTTCGTAAGAAAGTAAGTTACATAAGTCATAAAGCAAGTTAGCAGTTTTATAATCTTAGTTCCTTGTATAGAGTTCCCACATAATTTCTTCCTATTTTCTTTCTTTTCTGTTTCACAGGGTCTGGTGATCACTACCACATTCCCCTCTTTGAGACTCTTATTTTAAAGATTCTCACTTTAAATTTCTCATTTTTTTTATGTCAGCTAGTAACATTTGTCCAGGATAGGGGGGAGGGGACCTAAACAAACTGTGTTTAGTAAGGGCAGTTTGTATTAGTCTTTGAGTTAATCCTTGGGTGCAAAGTATAAATACAGCATCTTGCTAAGATAAGTACTTTTATAACTATAATAAGTGAAGTTAATATAGAGGTTATAAGTCCTTTATATTTTCCAAACCATCTTTTCATCCCATCTCCTATGGGATCCTCTGCACCAGAATTTTCAGCTCATTTGTTGGCAAGAGTGGTTAGTCCTTGGAGGGCTGTTGGGGTGGGGAGTATAACAGTGAACGGCCCCTTTTACTTTGCCTTAAGTGAGGTAGAATTTCAATCCTTTACCCATATCTGATCCCCTGGCGAGAAGGGGTGTTTGGGTGCTGACAAGCTAATGGGGACTCTCTCTTGAAATTATTTATTTAAGGCATTAGATATCTTTCCTAGTCCCTCCATTACCGTATGGATTTCTAGTTCTCCCTGTTCTGTCAGTGGTCTGGGCAGGGACCTAAGCATGGGAGGAGGCCTAGCACACAGCCCTTCATAGGGCGAGTGTCCTGTTCTCTTAGTGGGGTGCACCTGATTCTAAACGGGATCATAGGGAGAGCTTGACCCAGGTAAGGTTTGCTTCTTGGCATAGATTTTGTAATCCTTCCTTTATGGTTCTGTTTATCTTCTCTACCTCTCCAAACTCTGGGGCCTGTAAGTGGCATGTAGCTTCCAAGAGGTCCCTAACCCCTTGGAGGTCATCCCGACTATGGCTGCTGTGATCCTGGCCCGTTGTCTGAGCCAGTCTGTAAGCGGAGTCCAGATGGAGGGGTTATTTTTCTTAATAGGACCTTCACTAGCTCTCGAGCCTTCTCAGTCCTGCAAGGGAAACCTCACCCCACCCTGAGGAGGTGCACACCAGTACCAGCGAGTATCGATACCTGTTGCACTGAGGCAGCTCAGAGAAGTCTTTCTGAAGGTCCTCGAAGGGCGCAGCGCCTACTGTCTGAATTCCGGGAGACACCACTGGGCCTTGTTCGGCATCGTGTTGGCTGTGAACTAAAATAAAATTTTAAGGCTCAGCGCCCCGCACCGGATGACTGAATGGACCCACTGGTGGCCAAAGGAATACTCTAAAACTAAATTTTCTGTCAGGAGGAAGGAAGTCATACATACCTCATCATGGCCTCCCTCCCTTCTTGGAGACATCCTTTGTAACCCATTAACAGGCCTGAGACAAACCTGCAGGTGCTCCATTTACACAAAACTCTATGTCTGGTGGCTTATCTCTGAGAACAGCTCCTTATGTTGAAACATTCCAGACCTTTAGACAAAGCTTCATGTCTTTAATCAATTACAAGCCAAAGAATCTTTAAACCTACCTATAACATGTAAGCTCCCCCACACCCCCACTTCGAGATGGCCCACCTTTTCCGGGAAAGCCAATGTATGCCTTCCACGTATTGACTGATGACTTTACCTATAACCCTTATCTCCCTGAAACGTATAAAACTAAACTGTAACCCAGCCACACTGAGTCCACTTGCTCAAGGCTTTTTGGGAGTGGCTCCGGATCATGGTCTTTAAATTTGGCTCAGAATAAACTTCTTTTAAATATTTCAGATTGGATTTTTCCATCCACAGCTGCAAAGGGTGCAAGGCAAGCTTGGGTTTTTAGGGAAAGCAGGGAGGTGTTGGATGTCAAAGTATCTTCCCACAAGTTTCTGTGTAGTTTCTTGCCCAGGATGAGTGGCCTCATGGGCTGTTTTTACTATAGTTGGTCTGAGGAGGTGAGGAACAGCTATCCGTCCTTTGAGAAGGATCAGCCACCCTGTTTTATCTGTCTCAGCCCCTTCTCATTTTAAATTTCTGTTCTAGGGGTGGGTATTTGGATGTTTCAGTTAGAAGCCACGGCAGTAAGGGTGCCATGAGCCCTCTGTCATCTCTGTCTCTCGGGTGGCTGCCTTCACTGCCTCAGCATCACCCTTAGCATCTCCCAAAGCCTCCAGCTAGATCCCTTCTGGTGTCCCCTGCAGTGTACGACTGCCACTTATTAGGTTCTCAGATGGCCTCTAACTGCCCTAATATTTCTCTTGCGTGTTTTAACTCCTTTCCTCCTGCACTAAAGCGCCTCCTTTCTCAATATAATGCCCATGTATATGTAATGTCAAAAGGCATATTTAGAGTCTGTATGGATGTTTACCACCTTCTCTTTTCCAATTTCAAGAGCCCTTGTGAGGACAATGAGTTCCGCTGTCTGCCCAGAGGTGCCAACTGGCAGGGCTTGGCCTTTCTTGCACCTCATCCCGAGTGACCACTGCATACCCAGCCCGCCCGGTTCCCTCAGAACTCACAGAACTGCCCCCGTCTACAAACATGATAGGTCTGGGTCTGAGCAGGGGCCGTCCTTTAGGTCAGCTCGCCCCGAGCAGACCTGGGTGATGGTCTCTTCACAGTCGTGGTCCCAGTCCTACCGGGAGGAGAGTAGCCAGGTTCAAGCATTGTTCAAGCATTGTCAAGTGTAATTCTGGGATTCCACATAGCAGTCCTTGATATTAGCGAGGCGGGAGTTGGTGAATGAATGATGGCCTCTGGCATTCATCAGGGTCAGGACCGAGTGAGGCACCCAAGTAATCAGTTGTTGACCGAGACTAAGCTTGTCAGCCTCTTGGGCAAGCAGGGTGGTGGCAGCTGCTGCCTGCAAACATGGAAGCTGCCCGCCAGCTACTCCATCTAGTTGTTTTGACAGGTATGCTGCCGGTCTCTCCCAGGACATTAGTCTCTGTGCTAATACTCCCACCGCTGTCTCCTGTGTCTCTGATATGTAAAGGTAGATCGTTTTTCTAAATGAGGTAGCCCTAGAGCAGGTACTTCTTGGAAGTTCCTTTTTTTTTTTTTTAGTTAGGCATATTAAGGGGGTACAGATTTTAAGGTTTCAATAAACCATT